AGGGAAAAATCAATATGGATGCTTTTAGCAGTCCTAGTTAACTATTTAGAAGCAGTTAGCCAAAGAAAGGTTTGATGCGAGAGCAATGTTCTAAATACATAGCAATGTATAACATAATACTCAGACAAGAGGCCAGCCACATATGACAGAAATTCTGGTGCATATGAGCTGAATATCAGCATTGGTGTGATGCAGAATTGAAGGTAGGGACTTAAATTGTCAGCTGTGCATTTCTGATCAATTCATAAATGTCTTCCTAAGGCATTTTTCACAATAAGGGGTTTCCTTTAGTCAGTGATTCCCCAGATATACTACCCTAAAGCAAAATAATCTTAGAAGACCATCGGAAAAGTAAAGGTCATGGTAGCAGAGATATGCATAAAATGTCCCCTGTGTTTTTCTTACAATGACAAAGGGAAGAAAAAGAACATTAACTTAAATGTATGCAAATAAGCAAATGTTGCTTTTAAGTTAGAATTATGAAGCTTGTGATCTAACAGCAAGTTAAAAAAAAGTCATAAAAGATTGTACCTTTTTATTATAAACATATGATGTCTATGGTAGACAACTAGAAGAAAATATAGTAAAAGCTTTTGTGACAGAATAATAAAATTATGGGTGAGTTCTGCCTCCCATTCCCCTTACTATTGTCTAAATTTTCTATAATACTGTGACATTCCCTGATCCAAAAGAATCCTGAAGCAAAATACCAAAGGAAGCACAAGCTTACTAATCATAACCTACCAGGTAAAGATGAAGACAAGTAGAAAGATAAAATTTAGTAAAATTAATCATTTATGGACGGATCCCCACTGGCCTCCTCAGCCACTGGGCAAATTTTGGTGGGAGAGAAGAGAACTGATGAGATTCCAAAACTTTCTATCAACCTTGCAAAACTCTGATTTCCTAGGAACACCTGACAAGTTGTGAAGAAGTAAATTTAATGTACAAGGTACCCCTTTCACCCTCATTGGGAGAATTTGGAGGAACAATAATTAAACAAACTCTATCACCTAGAAAAATAAATAAATAAATAAATAAATAAATAAACTTGTTCAGTTGCTTTCTTTTTGTTCGTCTAAGCCAGAGCCTGATAAACCAGCAGGAGCAGAGGGACTCCTGATGAGGCAGCAGCTTCCTCAGCAGCGGGCATTCATCCCAGTTGACAAGCAAAGCCCACTGGAATGTTGTCGAAAAATACTGGTTCTCTCTCCAGCTCATCTCTCTCTGTCACATTTGTTGCTGACCCCATGCTCTAGTTCCCATTATTTGAATCTCCCTGTCCTTTCATGCTTAAATTAATGTCCAATTTTGGCATCTCAACCCTTTTTGATTTCTATTCTAAAAGACCTACAGAATCAAATATAAGCAATTAAAGCAAATAAATACTTAAAAAAAAGAATAAAATAAATCAAAAAAGCAAAGACCTCAGTTTTATCTTTGCTATCACTTACTCCATGATGGACAAGAGTCTAATTCATGAATGCTACATTTAGCTTTTATTATTACTGAGAATAAATCTTCCATGTTGGTTGACTAGGCACAGAACCTATATCATGAGGATATTTATTAACTCTAGCACTATGGAGGTAGGTTTCGATCTAAATCGATTGAACTTGCTAAAGATAACGTTTATCTTTACTAAGTATATTTACTTACCACAATTTCTTCATTTTGAAGCTGTCCCTCTGTGTGTACTAAATCTAAAACAAAAGTTTAAAGGAAAGGGTCAAAGCTTAAAATATATGAGGATAGCTAGTGAAATTTATGTTCAGCAAAACAGAATATCTGGTAAACTATACATTATGAGTAGATTTAAAGAAATGATCAAGACCAGCAGATAGCATAATGGTTACATTGCTGGACTCCCACATAGTTGACCATGGTTCAAGTCCTGGACAAGGCGGCTTAAAACTCACACCATGCGCTCATGCATGTGTGCCCAAAATCCTGAGAGGGGAATGGAGAAGGGACTGCAGCGTGGCCATCCTTCCTGGGGGATGATTTCTTGCTTTCTGTCTCTCCAGTGAGCACATGCACCCTATAGCAAAAATCTCTCTTAAAAAAATGATCAATGTTTGGGGATTTAAATTTGATATAAAAATAGATAGCTGATATAAAACGTTAAAAAAAGATAAGCTAGAGGGGAACCAGCAGTTAGCATAATGGCTATGTTGCTGGACT